ATGAAAACTTAACTGAATTAATGGTAAACTTAACTAGGATTAAATATAAATCACATAGATAGATAGATAGACAGATAGATAGATAGACAGACAGATAGATGGATAGATAGACAGGCAGACAGATAGACAGACAGATAGATAGATAGGTAGGTAGGTAGATGGGTGGGTAGATTAGATGGATGGATGGATGGATGGGTGGATGGATGGGTGGATGGATGGATGGATGGATGCAGAGAAAGAGAGAGATAAATGAGTGAGCATAATAAACACTTCCTGAACAAGAATATTGTTCAGTTTCTCTCTTAAAAGTGTATTTCCATAAGATATATAATAGTCATCAGCCTTCAAAGGCAAACATAAATACACCTAAGTGTTGGTAAGCAAAATTAGGAAAAGCTTTATAAGTGTGCCTTTAGTGAATGCACACATAAAACATATCTACACTTTGCACAAATCAGATAAACAGTTCATTTGCTTTCATTTCCTTTGAACTTTCTCATTTTGACAAGAAATTCTGGAGTTCTAGGTCTTACCTATTATCCTGTCTCAGGTTAGAAGAAACTGGAGAACCGGGCTTTGGAGGGATTGGAGGGTGAACATCTGGGTCCCTTAAAAACAGAATACAGCAGTTCATTTTACTGTGGAAATATGGTAAATTCTAGCATTTATCAACCAAATGCATTTACTGCCTACATGGAAGTATCCCGTGCATCTCACAACCCCCAAGCATCAGGTACCTGAAAGGTCAGAATTCATGAAGCACTAAACTTCAAAGAAGTCAGAGTAAAACTATGAGTATTTAAAAAAAAAAATGTATTTAATTAAGTTTTTTAAAACTCCATCCTCTTTAACTATATGCTATAAATATAATATTAAAGAGCTTAATATTTTGCTAGAACATCTAGCTGAAGTCATGGCATTTTGGGCCAGCAGCACATGCACATAGTAAAGAGTCCTTAGCCATTAATATTTAAGCTTCTTTAGGAATTATGTCAACTATCAGGCTGCTCCAGAAACAGCAAGATGTGTTTTCAATTCCATAGACCTTAAGGTAAATTTGATTTAAAGCTCTTAACTAAATCTGCCTTAAATATCCTCAGCACAGGCCAGTTTGACACTAAGAAAACATATATGTACTGTCAGCCTAATTCTTCCAACAAAGCCCCAAGGTAGCCTCTGAGCTAGCATAATTTAACAACCTAGGACCCAGAGAGGGGAGATTATGTGGGTATTTTGGATAAAGTCAGCACCTTTCCAAGGGCATGTCAATCGTCTTCACCCCCGCTCCAGCCAATGGTTCCCTATTATTCTCAAGATAAATCCCAAACTACCTGGTAAAAGGACTCTTATTCTCTAGATTCCATTTACCTTTCTGCCTTCTAGAGCACACTAGGTAGAAGCAGGGGGGCTGAGGTCAAGCTGCTTGAGTTAGTTGCCAGCTGTACGGCAATAGGTTAACCTGATGCCAGTTCCTCATCTTTAACAGTCCGTCTAATAGGAGTGATGCAGTGTTGTCAGGACTAAGTGAAATCATGCTTTAATTCAATGCACATTTGTTTTATTGGTTTGTTTGTTTATTTTTCCCTAGGTACAAGGCACTCTTCTAGGTGGATAAATTCCTTGTTCTCAAAGGGTTTACAATAAACAGGTATATGCCAGATGGAGAAAATTGCTATGAAGAAAAATAAAGTAGGGTAAGAGGATCTAGAATGATGGGGTACAGGGCACTACTTTATATAGAATGGCCAGGGAAGGCATCTCTGTGAAGTGAAATTTGAATAAGCACTTGTGGAAGGTGACAGAATAAGTCATGAGGATATGTGAAGGAAGAGTATATAAATATAGACATCATCAACTGAGAGATCATATTCAACACTTGAAACTAGACCAGATCACCAAAGGATTGTTGTTGTTAGATGCTCTCGAGTCATCTCTGACTCATAGGGACCCTATGTACAACAGAATGAAACACTACCCAGTCCTGTGCCACCCTCACAATCCTTGCTATGCTTGAGCCCATCGTTGCAGCCACTGTGTCAATCCAATCCATCTTGTTGAGGGCCTTCCCCTCTTTTGTTGTCCCTCCACTTTAGCAAGCGTATCCTTCTCCAGGGAATGGTCCCTTCTAACAACAGGACCAAAGTAGGTGAGACCAAGTCTGGCCATTCTCGCTTCCAAGGACCATTCCAGCTGTAATTCTTCCAGGACAGATTTGTTAGTTCTTTTAGCAGTCCATGGCAGATTCAGTATTCTTTGCCAACACCACAACTCAAAGCATCAACTCTTCTTCAGTCTTCCTTATTCATTGTTCATCTCTCACATGCAATATGAGGCAATTTAAAATACCATGGCTTGGGTTAGGTACATCTTAGTCTTCAAGGAGACATCTTTGCTCTTCAGCACTTGAAAGAGGTCTTTTGCAGCAGATTTGCCCAATGCAATATGTCATCTGATGTCTTGACTGCTGCTTCCATTGGCGTCGATCATAGAACCAAGTAATATGAAGTCTTTGACAACTTTAATCTTTTCTCCATTTATCATGATGCTGCTTATTGGACCAGTTGTGAGGATTTTTGTTTTCTTTATATTGAGGTGTAATCCTCGAAAGGAAGATTGGGCAATCTACTTCTGTAAAGATAAGGTCTCAAAAACCCAAGGAGGGGTTGCTGTGAGTCAGATCCAACTCAATGACAGTGAGTTTGTTTTTTGGTTTTGTAATCCATACTGCAGACTGTAGTCTTCAATCTTTATCAGTAAGTGCTTCAAGTCATCCTTACTTTCAGCAAGCAAAGTTGTGTCATCTTCATATTGTGGGTTGTTAATGAGCCTGATGCCACGTTCTTCTTCATATAGCCCAGTTTCTCAGATTATTTGCTCAGCATACAGATTGAATAAGTATGATGAAAAGATACAGCCTTAATGCACTTCCTTCCTTATTTTAAAACACACAGTATTTCCTTGTTCTTTTCAAATGGCAGCCTCCTAGTCTATGCACAGGTCTCTCACAAGCACAATTAAGTGCTCTGGAATTCCCATTCTTCTCAATGTTATCCATAGTTTGTTATGATCCACACAATCCAATGCTTTTGCATAGTCAAAAAAAAAAAAAAAAAACACAAGTAAACATATTTCTGGTATTCTTTGCTTTCAGCCAAGATCCATCTGATATCAGCAATTACATTGCTCATTCCATATCTTCTGAATCCAGGCTGCATTTCTGGAAGTTCTCTGTCAATATACTGCTGCAACCATTTTGAATTATCTTCAGTAAGATTTTACTTGTGTGTGATATTAATAATATTGTTCAATAATTTCCACATTCTGTGGGATAACCTTTCCTTGGAATGGGTACAAATACAGATCTCTTCCAGTCAGTTAGCCAGGTAACTGTCTTCTAAATCTCGTGGCATAGCCAAGTGAGTGCCTCCAATGTGGCATCTGTTTGTTGAAACCCCTCCATCTGTATTCCATCAATTCCTGGACCCTTGTTTTTCACCAATTACTTCAATGTAGCTCCAACTTTTTCCTTCAATACCATTGGTTCTTGATCACATGCCACCTCCTGAAATGGATGAAAATCTACTAATGCTTTTTGGTACAGTGACTCTGTGTATTCCTTCCATCTTCTTTTGATGTCTCTGGCACCATTCAATATTTTGCCCACAGAATCTTTCAGTATTGCAACTTGAGGCTTAAATTTTTTTCTTCAGTTCTTTCAGCATCAGAAATGCTGAGTGTGTTCTTCCCTTTTGGTTTTCCAACTCCAGGTCTTTACACACTTCATTATAATATTTGAGTTTGTCTTCTCAAGCTGTTCTTTGAAATTTTCTGTTCAGCTCTTTTATCTTGTCATTTCTTCCATTTGCTTTAGCTACTCTCCATTCAAGGACAAGTTTCAAAGTCTCTTCTGACATCCATTTGGTCCCTTCCTCCTTTCCTGTCTTTTTAACAACATTTTGCTTTCTTCATGGATGATGTTCTTGATGTCATCACACAATTCCTCTGGTTTTCGGTCATTGGTGTTCACTTCATCAGATCTTTAGATTGTATCTAAATTCAGGAGGTATTTAATCAAGGTCATATTTTCGGTCTCATGGACTTCTTTTAATTGTCTTCAACTTCAACTTGAACTTGCAACTTGCATATGAGCAGTTGATGGTCTGTTCCACACCAGCTCTTGGCCTTGTTTTGGCTGAAGATATTGAGAACTTCTGCATCGCCTCTTGCCACAGATGCAGTCAATGTGATTTCTGTGTGCTCCATCTGGCAAAGTCCACGTGTATAGCTGCTGTTTGTGTTCTTGAAAAAGGTATTTGTAATGAATAAGTCGTTGGTCTTGCAAAATTCTTTCATGTGATCTCCAGCATTATTTCTATCACCAAGGCCATATTTTCCAACTACCAGTGATTCTCTTTTGTTTCCAGCTTTTGCATTCCAGTCACCAGTGACAATCAACACATCTGGATTGCATGTTCAGTCAATTTCAGACTGCAGAAGTTGGTAAAAATCTTCAACTTCCTCATCTTTGGCTTTAGTGGTTGGTGTATAAATTTGAATAATACTAGTATTAACTGGCCTTCCTTGTAGGCGTATGGATATTATCCTATCACTGACAGCATTGTATTGCAGGATAGATCTTGAAACACCCATTGTGATGATGAACGTCATGCCATTCTTCTTCAATTTGTCATTCCCAGAATAGTAGATCATATGGTTGTCTGATGCAAAATGGCCAAAGCCAGTCCATTTCAGTTCACTATTGCCTAGGATATCAATCTTCATGCATTCCATTTCATTTTTGACAACTTTCAATTTTCCTAGATTCATACTTTGTACATTTCATGTTCCAATTATTAACGGATGTTTGCAGCTGTTTCTTCTTGTTTTGAATGGTGCCACATCAGCAAATGGAGGTCCCAAACACTTACTCTATCCATATCATTAAGGTTGGTTCTCCTCTTAGGATGTAGCTCTTCCCCAGTTGTATCTTGAGTGTCCTCCCACCTGAGGAGCTCATCTTCTGGCAGTATACTGGACAATGTTTTAGGGCTATTCATAAAGATTTCCAGTAATATATCAGACAGTGTTTCACTGCTATTCATAAGGCTTTCACTGGCCAATTATTTGAGAAGTAGATGCTCTCTTCCTTCTTCTGAATCTGTCTTAGTCTGGAAACTCCACTGAAACCTGTCCACCATGGGTAATGCTGCTGGCTTCCAGCCTCACAGCAACAGGCAAGCCACCCCAGGTAATCTCTCTTAGCCTGTTCAAACCACTCCACTTACTTTCTGGTGTCTCTTAGCTGTTCCAAATTGCCATGGGCTCACATTTGTGGAGGCTGGCAAGGCTCAAATTCATGGGTCAGGAGAAAGGCTGCTTGCTCACTTTCGAAGAACTGGAGGTATGATGATGGGGAGTCAACATAGGTAGAGACCGAAAGAGGATCAAGGACTAAACCTTGGGGTTTTCCAATATTTAGAGTTTAAGAATATGAGGAGGAAGCAGCAAAAGAGACTGAGAATGAGTGGTCAAGGAAAAAGAAGAGAAACAGGAGGTTGTGGTAGACTGGGAGTCAAGAGAAGAAAGTGTTTCAAGAAGGAAGTAATTG